GATGCCTCACACTGGTTCAACAGTACTGGACTCACCTCCGTATGGTAAATGGCCATGACAGCCGTTAACGGCAATCTAGAAACTTGAGATAGTTTTAATACGATTAATGCATCAGTTATATATATGGGTTCGCATGGGCATTTTGGAAATTTCTTGTACATCCAATCTTCACACATCCACTCCATTTAGGCGACTTATTTGATTCCCTCTTGGGTCGTATTGGTGCAAATTTGGGGTTTCCGGAGGTTGTTGTTGACAAGCAACAGTCAATGGACCAAGAAGCGTGAAGGTTTTTTGGCTAGGCATGGAATTTTGGTCATTTTGGTTTTGAAAAATTACTGCCACAGCTTCGGCCAGTCATCATTATTGTCAACAATATTCTAGGACACCCTAGCCGATAACTAAGAGAATATATTCAAGCGGCGTTGGCTAATTCGTCTTTCATCATTGTCATCTGATCACTTGAAGTTGAATTTGGGGGGGGGACATCGTCGTATGGGGATACCTGACCCCCGATCTGTTAATCCGCATACCGGTACGAGTAGTGCTTTTCGGTACATACAGTCCTTCAAATCCACATCACCATAACTTGTCTTGGAACCAATTTTCGACTGTGCTTGATCTGATGACATTCTCAGCGTTGCCATTCTGGTCAAAGGACGAAATCGAAGAACGAGATGATGGATATATCCTTTTGAAGGACGAGTGGAACTCGGGAGAGGATCAGCCTTTGCTCCTTCACTCCACTGGGGTTGTTTTAAGATTCCTCTACCCTGGGATGGATTTAAATGCCGTTCTTACCGAGGAGGGTAACATGGGCTCAGCGGAACCACTGTCGAAAGTGAAATCAGGCAGTGAATCGTCACTAGTTGAAATGGGTAACCAAAAAGCGAAAACCCACGCAAAAATGAAGAGGAACGCTGATCTTGAGCCAGACTATGAGGCGTATCAGAGCATGGATAGAGTAATAGATTTGAGCAGCCGTCTTCAATCAGCCATTGTCGATATTCAGCGATGTAGGCACAGGTCCGAAGCCAGTAATGAGAAATCAAGCAGAGAGACGGAATTCGACGACTTCGAGCAGGAACACGATTCTTCAGTAGTTTCTCAGAATGAGGCGAGTGAAGCTAGGGCGTTTGGGAGACAGAAAAACCGAGATGAGATCAAAACGATTCAGCTGGTGCGGACTTTGAACTCAGTCAGGGCGTTGTTTCCTCATCTCATCCCCATTTTGAATCACCCGAGACGAAACGATAAAAAGTTGATAATTCATGATGTGAAGTGGAAACAAAGGAAGAGGAAAGCCATGTGTTGGATCCTTGGAAAGCGTGTCTTCGATACAACGACAGTTAATTGGTGCAAAACGGCGCGCCGGGATATTACGGCAGTATTGAAGGGATATATTGATGTGTCATTGGCAGAGACAATTGTGTGTGATCCGCTAGGCTCTTTCGAATTTTGGAAAACTCACTGGCTAATGGAAGTAAAGAAAAGGATAGCTCCAAAAATCATGAGCCCCCTCGATGTACTATCCGAGAACAAAAATAGCGATGAGATTATGAGGATTGCTCGAGAGCTTGATCAAGAACTCTTCAGCACGGATACAAGCAAGCGAACGCTCGAAACGCAGCGAAGGTATCGTCAGTGCATTGACAATCTTCGCGACCACATTTTAAAGTTGCTGAGGAAAAGATACGCGAAAGCAAGGTATGAATTGCTATTTTTGACGTCTCTATTTGTGAAAGTACTCAATAGGCATTATTCCTTGGCAAACTCTATTGAAGGCTAAGCCTCTATGGGAGTTGTTTGTCGAATCTCTCTCTTGGAGTAGGTTCTGACGTTGACTTATCGTTGTGGATCCCAATCCAAGATGTACCCAAGAAGGAGCGAAAGGAGATGGCCAAACATGTGTACAAGGTATTCCACCTTCTAAACAATAGAGATGGCTTCGAGGGGATGCAACCAATAACCCGAGCCCGGGTGCCTGTTGTGAAGGGTACCAAACTCAAAGCTGGCAACCCGTACACTCCCGATGGATCAATAGAGTGAGTTTATCTATCGAGCTAATGTTGAATACTGAATCGATGAAGTAAACGTTTCGTTTTCGAGCTAAAAAAAGATTCTCACAGTTCGTTTTACTCCGAAGCTTTGACATCTGTTTTCTGAATGATATTGCTGTTGCCAATAGCAATCTCTTGCGGGAATATAGCCTAATGGATTCGAGAGTTCGCGATTTTATGCTCCAGGTGAAACGGTTTTGCCGGTATCATGCGATTAATTCGTCACCCTCTGGGACAATATCTAGCTATGCTTGGAATGTGATGTGCATTTTTTATCTTCAATGTATCCTGTTCATTCCCAATCTACAAGATCGCAAATTGATGGAAAAAGTGAGCAAAAAGCCAAATCCAAAAGGCAACTATTGGCACAGAGTCGATGATCTCGACACTTGTAAGTTTCTCATCACCACGATATTTGGCTCTTTTATTGCGATACAATGCGACTAGTCTGACTGAGTTCCGCACACTTAGTTTACCTGAAGTGGAGTGATGCAGAAGGGGTCTGGAAACGCCCCCCAATGTACAGTATGACACCAGTCTCACTTCTGCTCTATGGCTTCTTTGAGTTTTACAGTGTCAGGTTCCCAGGAGCTTTTTTTGGTATTTCAATTCGTCATGGCGGCTTGAGCTTGTCAAAATTGAGTGGGAAGGTGTCAAGCTTTCTGTCCATCGAAGATCCCTTTGAAGTGTACGACTCTTGGAAGCCACATGATTTAGGGTCACATGCGTCCATTAATGGTGCGGACAAGGTACAGTACAAACAAATAATGCGAAACGATCGCATTCGTACTTTATTGCCGAAAAGACTATCTCACATTTCGCTCAGATTTTTCTTTGCCTGGAAGGTGGTGAAAGGTACCTTAGAGAGCTTCTCCTCGGGATGACAACCGATCCTGATATTCCTTGGAAGCTACCGGACGAAGGAGAGGTTCAAGATGTAGAAAATACACCAGCCTTAGGCAGACCAAAGAGAGACAGAAGGGCAACTGTACGCACTAAAGAACCGAATGTGCCAACGAAACAAGTCAATAGAATGAAAACACTAGAAAATGACCACAAAAGCCGACAACGAAAGCCACCGAATCGGCAAACACAGCACAAAGACAAATCGAAAAGATGGGAAAAGGCGCCACAACAGAAACGAAAGAATGAAACCTAGAGAGTGCCAAAGTCGCAAGAGAAAGATGCCCCGAATGGGAATGCAGCACCATCCAAAACAAGGAGCCAGAGAGAATTGAAAAAGGTGCAACACACCAAAACGAGGAGTAAGTCAAGAAATGGTGTTGTCTAAGATGCAGCGCATTTTCGTTTGCGTTAAACAATTATGTGGTACTTCCAAAATCTCTCTCGACCAGTGTGCGCAGCTCCTGCAGGGATTCATCGATAAGCTTGCTCAGTTGGTCTGTAACGTTGGTATCTTGTAAACCGACTATGTTGAACACACAAGACTCAGCATGAACTGAGTACGCAATCCCGACCCCTTCCGGAACCACTTGGCCAAATCCCCAATTAACTATCTTTGGATGAGTTAAATTGCTTGTACTGACTCTCCAGCGTTTAGAATGATTGAAGAGCGAGTTGGAGTATAAACTTGGAGTTATTTCAGAACCTTCGACGAGTGCCGAAAGCCCAAAAAAGTGACGATCCACTCCTTGTGCTCTTGATGCATTCGCTGAATACCGAGAGTGTGCCGTTGTTGCGTTCTTCAATAATTCTAACTTCTCCTTTCGGACTGCATCATTGTCTTCGTTCGAAGTTGGACTCTGCCCCATCTTTTCGACGAATTCAGCGGATTCAAGAGAAACAGACCTTGTTGTTTCAGTTCTTCCGTGCTATGACATTTGCAACAGAGATCGTAAGAACAGAGATTTTCGTGCAGGTCAATTTCAATAACATCAGAACTTACGAGAAATGTGCGTACTTGTGTCGCTTCGTATGTTGCCGCCTGTTCTCCGAAGAGCCTGAATGCTGCCAGATGAATTGCCATTTGAACAAAAGCATCAGGTGAATGGCCAGCAGTCTTAATGAAATCGCTGCCGTAAGCATCAAAAGTATTTACAACATTCGAGTGACGATCGACATTTGTCCTGCATTCAACATGAGCTGTAATAGTGGTGGTGAGAGAAAGGATTCAGCGAACATCATGGTCTATTCACATTCGTACTCACCTTGTTCCTCCAACAATGCGATCTCTGACCGACTGCTTTCCGCCATTTCCGCAAAAATATCAGCAAATATGTCCGAAACTGCTGGAGCACTTGTTGTGTCATTTTCTGGTTTGTCGCTGATTTCGTTTGAGTTTACGCTTGCAATACGATCGGCATACCGCAATGTAACAGTGCCATCAATCATTGAATGCTCACACAACACTGCAGTTTTACCGGTTGGGGTAACGATGAGATTTATTGATTTGTCATACCAACGGTTGTGGCTCGAACCTTGCCCCCCTGAAAGGAATTGCTGAGAGCAATCCTTCAACGATTTGGGAATTTCATTATCGAGGCTTAGCACGATTGATCCACTCTGCAATGTCATAAGCGCTTCCTGCATTCTTTCTCCTCCAATTTTGATCAGTGTTTCTCGCGACTTTGCCCAGGAATCCCTGTCCAATGAAGTCAACAAACCTAGCCTCGGTCGAGTGGAAGGAATTTGGTCGGCCATTTCAATGCACTTCTGAAGCTGTTGCTCCAGAATGAATGTCGGTAAAGGAACCCCAGCTTCGTTCACGAAGTCGAAGGAGAAAAAATGGCCCTTTCTCACTACAATAACATGTTTCATCTTGCTTGGATCATAGATGCAGTAGGAATCCTGCTGTTCCAACGGCACGCGACACGCGTTAAAAAGGTATTTGAATGTAGAAGAGCAGAGGAGCGTTTGCTGCCTCCCAACTCTGTCCGGAGGTAACAGACCAGAACACACTTCTTCACGAAACTTTGCTGTAGTAAACAGTAAAGATGCCGCTCTGAGGACTTGCGATGAGGCCGACGCCTCAATACTTGGATCGTCCTGGAGTTGCAAAAAGTACGACACGTTGTACACAAGAGAGTCGCGGACTTTGAGGTAGCCCATCTGGTTCCACCATAGTTGCAACCAACTTGAATCCTTCATCTCAATATCACGATAATCCAGTAGACGCTGCTGCAAAGTTTGAGCTTCCTTGGGAAATCTTCGACATGCAGTCTTAAGTTCAGCCTTTGCTTCCTCTGACTTTTCAAGGGGAAGGGCAGTGGGCAAGAATCGTTCAACCTTTCCATGATGATAACAGTTCAGTCCAATTCACTCAGCTCTTTCTCAACATGAATGATATCTCCTTACCGTTTCATCAATGGATGGAATAGGAAGTTTCGGTAGAGTCTTTTGCTCTGCATACAATGGACCACCAATATGCTCCTCTAAGAACGTTTCTTTTCTATAATCACCATTACACTCATAAAAAAATTCTGGCCACGGCTTTAGAAGACTTGATAACAAGCGAAACCCTTTTTGGCAAGAATATGCTGTGGGTGTCAGACCTCTCATGACATCAATCTTTGCGCTTTTGCTATACAATTGATTAGAAATCATACTGACACGACGGATCCGAGAAACACCGAATTTTACCCACATGCACTCAATCGCGACGTGAAATTGCGACAAACAATTGTTGTTGACGGTAGAGACTTCAAACTGCGGAGCACGCCAGAAAGTTGAAAGAGTTCTATTTTCTGCAAAGTGGCCCGTCTTCTTTTCCCAGTGCAGCTTTGTGGGTGCGCATGCGAATTTGGGATGGGGTGGGTTTCGGTGTTCGGGTGTCAGAAATTAAGCTATTTATTTAGGAGCCATTTTTGTGTAGCTCCGTGTCGCACCATGTCGCAGTTGACGACAGTTCCTTTTTCGGCCGAGAGAGAAACAGGAACACACACCCGGCAGAGTGAGGACTTCGGAATTCGTCGTGGTTCTTTCTCGAGAAATGACTTTGTCATTTCTCCATTATGTCTTGCATTAAAACGAGACATTTTCCAAAAATGATAGAAGAAGATTATTCATTTAACAAATATTTGACATTTAGGAGTAAAAACTGCTTTCTGGTCGCTTCTCCTCAATTCCCTCAAAGTGCTCAATTTCCTCGAAGTGCTCAATTTCCTCACTTGAGTATAATGAGGAGTTTAAAGTAAATTGAGGACTTTGAGGGAAGCGACCAAGTTGGTGGCTTCTCCTCGTTTTCGAAATTCCCACAAAGATGTCCACCAATAAATTTATAACCTCCCCCACATTATCGGCGATGCTTTATCGCCAATCAAGTCTTGGACTGGCGGTT